TGTTCCCTATCACCTTACCACCTTCCAAGTGTTTGCAGATGATTTCCTTAATTACTTGCTCCATTATCTTCCATTATCAATATCACTAGTTAAAAAATACCAGTGGGTGAGTAGATGGATTTGGCCAAGAGCTCTCTGGTACCCAAATAGCCCTAGAACCTCTTCAGAGCAGTGATCATTTATTCTGCAGCTACATCAAAACCCAGGAGAGGGGCCCAGATATTAAACTGATAAGAACAGATAGTAGAGAATGGTTTCATCCCTCAGCTCATAGAGAGCCGAGAAGCGATTTCTACCACTAGGCGAGGGCTTAGAGATAGACACTGGGGAAGAACTAACCTTTGGCCTCAGTCTCAGCAGAAATTTAGCACAGTGCTCCTGGTGGATATAAGTTATGAGGTAACCATAATAAACTGCATAAACTGCCAGATGAGTCCATTGCAAAACCAAAGTGCATTGTACAGTTACTTTGCTATGCAACAGTGAGAGCCTGTGCTTGCCAGCGGATGGAGCACAGGGCTGGGAGCCAGGAATTTCTCAATTCTAATCTTGGCGCTGGCCATCACAGGGTCGGTGCTATGCCCCAGCTTTTAAACAGTGTCTTGGAGGAACCCCTTCAGCGAGCCAGCCCCCCAAGAACTCACCCTTCCTTCATGGTAGGCCTCATGGCCTCAACACCTCTGAGAAGGAGCCTCTGGACTCAAGCACTCCTACTTCACACCATGAGCTCTGCCCTGCGAGTCCACACTGAGACTTGTGCCCTCTCCGGGGACCAATGCCCCTGGGCAAGGATCTTCAGTGACACCAAGCAGCATTTTCAGAACAGAGTAGCATTAGACAACCGGAACACGGCACTGGAAGTGCTCAGGTTAGCATGGAAAAATGAAGGTTAAAAGCTAGGCCCATCTGGCCAAGCCAGAGCAACCAATCAGCCAAGCTGTAATGGATTCCGTTTCAGGTTCTGTCTCTCCCAGATTCCTTGGGCAGATCCCCGTGTAAGCAACCAGCTACTGCCAGAAGCCCACTCGTTGTCCCCAGCTGGTCACTTCCCAGTCCTTTGTCTCCAGGCAGAGTCACACTGAGTTCACAACTCCACCCACCCAAGTTTCCCACTGTTGAGTGTTGATTGTTCGGTCACTGGAGATTACATTCTCCCTCTGAACCCCTTGGTGATCTGGGTTGGTGTCAATCAGTTCCTTAAAGACCTATTCATTGAGACCCAGCCAGCAAGATGACACCCACACCTTATGTCCTGAGCTGTTCCAGGAGCCATGTTAACCCTTTTGCACCCACTGCGTAGCAATGCAAAGTACAGAGGGAAACTGAGGCAAGCAGGGTTCATAAAAACATACAGAAAATTCCCGCTTTGTCACACCTAAGGCAAGCAATTATGGGCCAGCATTCCCCGGCACTGATCAGTGAGGTTCCCATTGACTTCAGTGAGAGCTGCAGGTACTCGGCACCTCTGAAAAGCAGGCCATTAACTGGTGTGCCTTGGGATCCTCCTCTGAAAAACAGAGCGGCCTGCCTCACTGGGCGCTATCAGGCTTGGCTGAGGTTTGACAGCATTCTGAAGCTGTACCGTGCGAGAGCAGTGCTAAGTATCACATTCACATAGGGAGTCACTGTCCATCAAGAGGAGGAAGGAGCAGGGATCAAGGTATAATACATTGTGTGCAAGAAGAGGAGGTGTAGTGGGTGGCAGGTGAAGGTCATGGACACAGAAGGTTTAAACCGAGTGCTGTGCGTGAAAAGTGCAGGGTGGGTGGCAGCAGAGAAAAATGCGGGGAGGGGGGAAGTGTGTGCAGTGGGTGAAAGGTGAGGGAGGTGGGTCTAGAGGCTACAGAGTGATGGCTCTGCAGTGGGTGGCATATGAAGGAGATGCTCATAAAGGGGGAAATGAGCAGCTCAGTTCTCTCTCTGCACTGGACCCTCCCAAACCCGTCTAGTTTTTCTTCTTCTACTCTGGGAAAGTGTGTGGAGGGGGTTGTTTTGGGTAGGTGACTTGAATCTTCGTGTTGGGCAGCCAAAAGCATCTCATCCGTATTTCTTCCCCTGCCTAGTCACTATTCAATAGCACGCTCCCACTGCAACGAGGCAAAGTTTAAAACAGTGAAAATATTTCAGTGTTTTCCACGGTGGGGGGGGGGGGGACGAATTTTGCTGCCCTCTTGTGGAGAAAGGATATAGAAAATTATCTTTCATCCTTAAGTTCTGACCTAGCAATGGGGTCCGAGGGGGAGTAGAGCAGAATCCCTCTCCTAAGGACTCACTAAAAGCTTGTTTTCCCGTAAATCAAACCCCATGGACATTAAGAGTCCAGCACTCACCTTCTAGCCCACGAGTGCACTTGAGATAGACCCGGACTTTCCTGTCTGTTCCAACCGGTGACATTCCCAGGAGTCGATGCAGAGCAGTCTTAGCAGAAGGCCTTTGCAGCTTGTCCCTTCCGGCTGCCTAGCAGGTCCTTTGATTCCCCCGTTGGGGTAGTTCTCTGTCCACTTCTCTATATTCTTCCAGTCTTCATACATAGAACTTAAATGTTAAGGGCCACATTGGGATCCCCTTACTCACACCCCTTCCGCCACCAATCAGCCAGCTCCAGGAATCAGGTACTACACAGTATCTGGGATCTGGCCCTAAGGCAGGAAGTTGTGTAAACCCCTTCAAGAAAATTAATTGAAAATGGGCTCAGGGCCACATATCTGAACCGGTTTGTTTTGTGCAGCAAAATGTATTTATTAGGTCCTAAGCATAGTTCTCAGTGCCCCAAACCCCACGCGGAAGCAGGTAGGAATGACATCTATAATAGTAGGTACCTGGGCACGTGCAAGCCCAGGATGGGGTATGGGCCAGCCGTATTCTCCCTGCCGGCTGAGACAGTGAAATCATAGGATCCAAAACCAAGCAGGCAGGAGCGCAAAAGAAACAAACTGCAAATAAAAAATCAGGGCTGGTCTTAGCCCTTAAGAGAGCTTCTATGCTGCTGTCTCCAGGTGTCCTCCCCAGCACCGGGCACAGACCCACCCCCTTCCCCCGAGCAGTCCTCTGCCACCGACCCAGCTCAGACCTCCCCATCCTGCCCAGCGCCGCAGAACCAACCCAGCTGCCCCTCACTCACCCCCCCCGTTCCCCACTCATCCAGACACTCACCTGTGCCTCTCCCACCTCCCCACCCCCCTCCTCTGCCTCTCCCAGCCCCCCACAGACCTCCCCAGCCCTGGCTGTGCCTCTCCCACCTCCCCAGCCCCCTCCTCTGCCTCTCCCAGCCCCTACCCCCAGTTCTGTCTGTCGCCTCCCCAGCCCCCCACCCCCTGAACTCCCTGTGCCTCTCCCACCTCCCCAGCCCCCTCCTCTGCCTCTCCCAGCCCCCTACCCCCAGCTCTGTCTGTGCCTCCCCAGCCCCCACACCCTGAAATCCCTGTGCCTCTCCCCGGCCCCCACCCCCAC